GGACTTTGCCATTTCATATAATATTTCATGTTTTTTTTATTTTAACCTTAATAAGACCTTATGTATGATCACATTACTTATCAAGAGAGACATGCTACAACTATAAATAATAAAATTTATTTAAAGTTAAAAATTAAGATGTTTTTAAATAACTTTAATGACTTTGTATAGAAAAAACTAAATATTTAAAATAAACGCGCTATAGAAGCCGAACGCGGATATTTGTATGGTAATTATAGCAGAAATTAATTTTTTACTGCAACTAGATAATTGTGCAAAGGGCACGAATTTTGTTTGGCATTACTGCCAAAACTTATTTAGGAAATGTATCTCAATTCAAGATTATTGAATTCCTATATTCTTCTTTGACCTCCCTGTAGAGAAATAGGCGAGAAAAAAGTAATCTTGAATTGAGATACATTTCCTAAATAAGTTTTGGCAGTAATACCAAGCAAAATTTGTGCTCTGCACAATGCATATTTGCAAACTGTTTTTAGAAATTAAATTTAACGAGGAAACAACACACTGAAATCTGCCGTTAAATCATGATTGAATTTTACTAGATGTACTAGCATACTGTTAACATTTTACCGTCTGAAAAGTTCAAAATATGTATTGTATGATTCCGCGTAAGTTTTTAACTCAAAGTTTTTAAGGTGAAGTGAGGTTTATTTTACATGCAGTAATTCAGTTACAAAATGATATCTAAAAATACAATTTTATAAATTTTCGAGTATTCACGTAAAGAGAAATTCTTTTTTTTACTGCTCGCTATTTTTTTAAATGCAACACAAGGTTTAAAAATACACAATTTCACATATGTTTTCTATGTACTTTTCTAATGGCAATATACTCCATATTAGTATAGAAGATAAAAAATAAATATGACTGATGTTTCCTTCATTTTGCATTTAAAACAGTGATGTAGGATAGATCTTTTGAAAAGTCGAAAAACTATATGGAATTATGCATTTTTAGACCTTATTTTGCGTTTGAATCATCAGGTAATATAAAGTATGCTTTAATTTTCTGATATTTATAATTTTAAAATCACGGCGATTTTTTTAACGTTTGCTGACGAATATTCAATACTTTCTTTTTACAATATACAGAGATACAAAGTTATTGAAATCAATAAGATCACTTAAACATTCAGGATTAAAATAGATGGAAGAAACTCCTGTTTTAAAATGCTTTCCGAAATATCGCTTTGTAATCACTTTCCATGAAATGCATTTATATAAATTTGAATTTCATAATTTTGCTTATTTTTTTCAATTTATCTCAAAATAATCTTTTAATTTTGTTGAAGATTATAGAATGTATTACACTATTTATTTCTTTATTCAAGGCTCTTGGATCCTCGCCGCGGCCATATTGGATTGTCACAATCCTAACGTCACGTTAGAGGCAAGAAAGCATACGTTAAAAATTCGATGCTTATTTTAGAAGATAATTGATGAAATACTATTTCAGATGACTTTAGCATACCTTTAAAATATCTCTAAAATCATTCTTTTCTTTTGACAATCAATCAATAACCATAAAATGATTGTCACATCAGACTTTGTCATGCGGAATAAATGTGCATGTGCAAAGATCAAACGGACTGGGCCTCATATTACAGTCATTTTACAGCTGTTGATTGATTACATTGTTCAACAAAAAATGAATTTCGAACACCGGAACCAGACTAATCGCTTCTTATAGTTTTGTACGCTGAACATGGATCTGTCTTCAAAATTGCTCCATCACGTCACAATTTTAAGAGACATGCAATTAAAATTGCAAAAAGGGCTATTTTTATGAACTTTGTCTTATTATAACTACAATATGCGAGGTACTAAAGAAGTTTTCTTACCACTAAAATAAAGTATATTATTAGGTTACTTTAAAAATTCCTCAATAAGAATTTTCGGTGTCGGTTATGATTCATAAGATATCCATAGTTGAATATAGGGTATTGCAGAAGTTATCTGACTAAATAAGTGACTTACTTAGGTTGACGAGTAACAGTCTTAAATTAATATTAATTCAAATTATGTTAATTTATTCTTAAGGATGTACGGGAGATACAATTGGAGACAAAAGTATCAACGCTATTCATCTTATAGAAAATCGCTAATTTGATATCCTAACTTTCAGCTGTTTTCAGCGTTGACACAATCAATTACTCAGAATTCGGAAAAAAATCAGAATTTCAACAAATTATTATTTTTTTTTGTTCTAAATGATTTAGAGAATGTTAATTTTGCAACATTGTTCTTTAAAGTTCCAATTATACATGTAAAGATTTAAAATAAATGGTATAATTTTTTTGATATTATTTTAACGTAATATAATCAATCAGGGTAACGATTTGTCATAAGATTATGTGTAAAACTAGCAAAAATTTAAATTACCTTTTAAATGAGTTAGTGAATTAAAAGCCAAATGTGTTAACAACAGTTTTGGTATCAAAGTAGCAGTAATCTATAATTTTTATAAATTTTGTACTATTTTTAGATGTCTCATACATCCTTAAAGGTCTTTTAAGTCACTGAATACAAATTCAATCCTAACAATATACTTTATTTTGGTGGCCAAAAACTTCTTTAACACATCGCATATTGTAGCTATAATATGACAAAGTTCGTGAAAAAAGCCCTTTTTTGCAACTTTAATTGCATGTCTCTTAAAATTATGACGTGATAGAGCAATTTTAAAGACAAATTCGTGTTTAGCGTCCAAAAAACCTATAAGAAATTATAAAAACAAAACTATAAGAAATAACTAGTTTCGTGCTGGTATTTTTTGTTCAACAGTGCCATATAGGGTAAAGGATAGTTTTCGATTATTTTAAGAGTGCTAAAACCATCTGAAGTACTGATTCGTCGAAATATCTTTTTATTTCGAAATGGCATCTTAGAATTTTTAGTGTGTTTTCTTGCCTTTGACGTCATGATTCCAACATGGTCGGTGATGAGAAGCCAGGAATTTTAATAAACTTTGAAAAAAAAAATGTTTTTGCCGATGCACAAAAACATAATTATGTACATACTGATACATCTAAACATTTATAATATTTATAGTATATCTAAGTTTACAGCACGTACTTAAAAGAACTGTTGCTATATTTTAAAGACAAATTTTGATATAAAATTTATATTTAACAAATAAAACTATGAACAAAATTACTTAAATTGCTAAACTTATGAATTCAAACTGTCAAAATCTTTGAAAATGACATCTATTTAATATAATAATAGTGCAAAATCGAAAAAAATGCATTATGATTTAAAACAATGGTTCTTCGAAAGCAATGATGTTAAAAATTTTCATTAAACCAATAAAATTATTTATATGTTATTCATTTTCCTCAGTATTTTGTTTAATTAAACAAATAAATACAACTAAGGAAGGTCTTTATTAAGAGCCATACGCGGATGTTCTTACGTACATTCCAATGAAAATAAAGTTTTTCATTGGAAATAATCAACCGTGCACAAAGCACGTATTATTCTTGGTGTTCTACCAAGATTTAAAAATTAAGAAATATTGTAGAATTAAGAAATAATTATTTATTCATTAAATTACACGATTTTTGCTTAAATAAATGTATCACTAATGAAATGAAATAACATACAGTGCATAAGATATCTAATTAATATTGTAGAGAAGAACAACAAAATATGAATCGATACAAATACTGATTTAGTGTGCCTTTTTAAAAATAAATGTTATTTTATATGTTTAATATGTTATATTATGTTAACGAAATCATAAATAATGACAATAATAAAAAATTCATAGCGATACCTTATATTGAAAGAATCTCGGAACTAGTAGCATCAGAATTAAAGAAATCAAATATAACAGTAGGATACAGATGTCTAAAGAAATTAAACAGAGTCATAAAAACGCAAAAAGACAGAGAAAAGCTCCAAAATAATTCAGGGGTCATATATAAGATTTCATGTAATAATTGTGATGCTACATATGTAGGACAGACGAAAAGACAATTAGGTACAAGAGTAAATGAACATAAAAATAATATTAGATTAGATTCAGCAAGGCACTCGGTGGTTTCTGATCATATTGTAAAATTTACACACAATTTCAATTGGAACGACACAAAAATCCTAGATTATGAAAAGAATTATTATAAAAGGTTGATATCAGAAATGATATATATTAAAGAAGAAAACAACAGTATCAACCTAAAAAAGGACACCGAGCGTCTTGACGGTTCTTATTATGATATTCTAAAAAAATTGTCTACGTCATCTTAAAAATTGGGTATATATACAGCGCGCCGACATTGTAAGATACAGATATCGATTTGTTTTTTAAAAAAGTACACATTGTGACTATGTTAAGTAAAAAGAAATAATTTTTTAAAAAAGTGTTATGTTCGTTGACAAAAAAGTAAGTTAATACTATTTATTAAAAATCTAAATGTAATATTTGAGCGGATATATTAATTTGTTCACAGTGGTTACATAATATAACAGCATCTGACGCTCTAACTCATGCCAACATACATGAATTTGTACTGCGTTCGTCATATAATCTTATAATTGTTGTATTTATTTATGATGTCGAAATGACTAAATTAATTTGTTAACATATTATTAGGATATTGAGAAAGACTGTCGTACAGTCGAAACGTTTATCTGAACTTTTGTATAGTATGAAGTAAATTAATAAATAAATTTTTCAATTAATAGCATATAAGCTCGTTAAGTTGGCCTTTTATTATATCACATATGTTATATTTTACTTATTTTATTTTATTCCTATTGATATACATATATAAAAATGAAATTTTGACAAGTTTTATAAAAATCCTTTTATTTGTTTATATAACTGTAATAATCTTGAATGTGAGAGAAGAGGAAAGGAAAAGAGAGAGGGAGAGTTTGTACACTTTTTGTTTTTTTTTAATTTTTACTGTTAATTTGTATATTTATAATATAAAATTTAATTTTTAATAAATTATAAATTTTTTATTGTTGCAGGAAGGAAAAGAAACGCTAAGTACTGTCAATGCAACTGGTTTGGCTATGTTATTTAGTGCTGGAACATTTCTTTATGTAGCAACTGTACATGTTTTGCCAGAATTAATGACAAGAAACAGTAATTACTTACATTTGCCAAACGTCGAAGGTACGACGTCATCTGTGACTGGACTTAAAGTTAAAGAAATATTATTCTTGGTAATAGGATCATTTTTACCTGCTTTGATTACAACTGGACATCATCATTGATTAAAATAAGTATTATATAAAAGATTTTTTTTCACATCTGTAATGTTTAGCAAAATTATTATTTTAATTTAATAAAGTTTTATTCTTATGACATAAAATTATTTTAAAACTATAACCTAAACTATAAAAAATATGGTTAAGATCAATATATACTGAGAAAAAAAATGAAAATTACTAATAGATGTATATTACGCAGTAAAAGATCTATTTTTTATAAAGATATGATTTTAATTATTAAAAATTTTAAGATGTATGTACTTCTAAACTATTCACGAGCAAATCTAGACCAAGATCCGTAGATGAATGACGGGAGGGGAAGGAAGGTTGTCGCATGAGCCGTCATTTTGGGACCACGAAGTTATGTGCGTTGTATGTCGGTGTGTGTCGTACGAAGTGTTAGGGAAAAAAAAACTATAGTTGAACAGCTGTCCGGTAGCTGGATTGGCGGCGCTATTTTGGGGCTTATGCTGAATCAATGATGCAACGACCTTACTTCCCCTCCCGTCGTTCATCTACGGGCCTTGATCTAGACCACGGTCTTACGTAGGTCTGGAAACTACTTCAATTTTTGATGGTGGGGGTAGCGTCTCTTAATGAGGCACGACCGCTTGGGGCGCCAAAATCGAAAAGTGTTATCTACAGGGTGTATAGAACAAAATGTTTTTCACACTCAGATATAATGATAATATACTAATATCAGATGTATGGAATAACAATAAATTAAATGTTTACACATTATAAATAAATGTTTATTTATTCAAAAATAATATTAAAAATAATATTATAAGTAATATTAAAAATAATATAATATTATAAATAATATTAAAAAAATTAAACAAATCATATATAGTAGGCCAACTGAACGAGCAAATAAATAAGGTGTAAAAATTTTTATTAATAGTTAAATAATTAAATTAACATTCCGTTACAGAATCGATATAAATTGTAAACGTTTCGACTGCACTACAGTCTTTATCAATACATAAAAGTTAAATATTAAAATACAAAGTTAAATGTTAAAAATACAAAGTTAGTTAAATATTAAAATATAAAATTGAAACGATTCTTCGCTGTTGACCAATAGATATGCAAGGCGATTGGTCTGAGATGCCAAGTTATGCGACATTTGAGCATGCTACGGATATAATACGCGAATTAAATCAATGTCAGAGAAAATTAAAAAATCTTTCAACTTACATTATCGTTTTAACAAGTCCTTTTCCCCGATATTTCAAGTGTGTGTTGCGAAGTCTGAATACCAAATGTCAAAATAGAGAGCGTGATGTATTTATTTATTACCAATGTTTTTTCTAAATTATGATTCAGCAAATTTTTTAAGTATGTCAAAATAACTACTGTCTAACAATTCGGTGTCTGTATTTAAATTAATTCCATTTTTCTGTTCTTTAATGTGGATCATTTCAGATATTAGTCTTTTATGGTAATTCTTTTCGTGATCCATAATTTTAATATTGTCCCAGTCAAATGTATGTTGTTCGTTTAGAATGTGTTCTGTGACAACCGAATGTCTAGCAGAGTCTAATTTAATATTATTTTTATGTTCTTTAAGTCTCGTTCCTAACTGTCTTTTTGTCTGTCCGACATATGTGGCGTCACAATCGTTGCAATTCAATTTATAAATAACATTAGAATTCGTGGGGCAATTATTTTTGTCCTTTTGAACTTTTATGAAGTCATTCAATTTTTTAATGCAACGATATCCTACCACTACGTCAGGTCTTCTTATTGCTGAAGCAACTTTCTCAGATATTGATTCTATATATGGTATGACAAAATATTTAATGTTAGTATTAGTATTATTGGTATCTGTTATATTGTTATTATTAGGCTTGTTAAATTTCTTAGTTGAGAGATTTTTTAATCTGCGTTTTATTTCTGTGAAAATTAGATCAAGAGGATAACCGTTGGATAGCAAAATGTTAATAGCTTTCTCTATATTTTTTTTGTGAAATTGCGGATGTGATAGTAATAAAGCTCTATCTACCAAGTTATAAATTGTTCCTATTTTATGACAAGTCGGATGATTTGAAAAAAATGAAAGTAATCTACCTGAGAATGTCTTTTTGTGATACCAATCTAAATAAATTTTATTATCTATTACTTTGATCATTATGTCTAAAAAGCTTATACAACGATTATCCTCTTTTTCCAATGTAAATTGTAGTCTATCGTTATAATTGTTGAATTCGTTCAAAACATATGTAATATTGTCAGCGGAAGTGCATAAAATAATGTCGTCTACATAACGGAAATAGAAAGTCATTTCGCAATTTAAATTACTAATTACTAATGTTTCCAAGTCCTGCATGACTATATCGGCAATGATCGGAGAAAGTGGGGAACCCATAGGAGTCCCATAAATTTGTTTGTAAGTTATGTTATTAAAAGTGAAAAATGTAGAAGTTAATATAAATTTTATCATACCTATGAATTCATTTTTGGGAATCTTTGTGTGTGACTCTATAAAATGCCATCTATTATTGATACCGTTTAATGCAAGATCTACGGAAACATTAGTAAATAATGAAACAACGTCCAATGAAACTATTATGTCGGTATCTTGTATTGTTTTCCCTGATAGAATGTTGCATATATCAAAACTGTTATTTACAAAACTGTCCGCTCTAGGAAGGCTATCTTTTAAAATTTTATGAAAGAAAGAAGCAATATTATATAGAGAAGTATTTATTGAGGAAACTATTAATCTAAAAGGAATATTTTCCTTGTGGATCTTGGGGAGCCCATAGGCTTTAGGAAGAAGAGAGTCGCTTGAAAATAAATAATAATATTCTTTTTTGTTGATGAAATCTTTTTTCAACCATTTTTTTAAACAAATATTGAGTTCTTTTTCTATTTTTGTTGATGGATTGTTTTTAACTATGGTATACGTAGAATCGTCTTCTAGGAGACTCTCAACTTTTTTTATATAAAATTCTTTTTCTAGTGCGACTGTAATGCTGCCTTTATCTGCTCTAGTAAATAAAATATTAGGATTTTGATTGCAGAATTTAATTGTGTCTTTATGCATGTGAAATAATTTTTCTTGTATGTCCGTTTTTTTGTCGTTATTGTTTAAAAATAATGAAAATTGTGGAATGGCAGCATTACGAATCGAAGTAAGATTTCTGATCCCATTAGAATTGCTTTCTATATCTTTGATGAATTCGTGTATAGCTACTTTTTTATTTAAGTTAACTGGGAGACTAAATTCACCTCCCAATTGTAATAGATTGGTTACATTGGGGGGAATTTTTTTATCAGTTAAATTAATAAACCATTTCTGGTTAGTTTGTTGTAAAGGGTTATGTGTAGCACAACGAAAACTGTTGGCAGAAACAGTGTTATCAACAATATTTGTCGATGATATTGTTTTCAATTCGATAGGATCAATATTTTTAATGTACTCTGTTTCATGCGATTTACGTAGCCATAGGAATTTTTTCTTGTGTATGAGATATAATTTTTGGTTGAACAAAGAAAAGGAGTTGCAATGGTGATTTAAAATCTCCTGCCAGATATAAGATGGTAAAAGATTTTGGAGAATTTGGAATTGCCTTGACCGTTTTTTATTAAGTGAGTTTAAAGTTCTATATAAATCAAATATCTCTATGTTAAGAATTTCAGTTCTGATATTATGCAACAAACCACGCATCCTATTTTTTGATTTATAGTGGTGGAAAACAAATTTATTGTTACAGAAATTACGCAAATGGTTGGGAAACAAACAATATCTCTTACATTCCCTTAAAAATTTCAACTTCGACATTGCTTTAATTATCGCATAATTAAAATTTAGCCAAGATTTAAAATGTTTTAACGTTTCTAGACCAAAATAGTTATTAGAATATTATTATTTATTTTCAAGCGACTCTCTTCTTCCTAAAGCCTATGGGCTCCCCAAGATCCACAAGGAAAATATTCCTTTTAGATTAATAGTTTCCTCAATAAATACTTCTCTATATAATATTGCTTCTTTCTTTCATAAAATTCTAAAAGATAGCCTTCCTAGAGCGGACAGTTTTGTAAATAACAGTTTTGATATATGCAACATTCTATCAGGGAAACAATACAAGATACCGACATAATAGTTTCATTGGACGTTGTTTCATTATTTACTAATGTTTCCGTAGATCTTGCATTAAACGGTATCAATAATAGATGGCATTTTATAGAGTCACACACAAAGATTCCCAAAAATGAATTCATAGGTATGATAAAATTTATATTAACTTCTACATTTTTCACTTTTAATAACATAACTTACAAACAAATTTATGGGACTCCTATGGGTTCCCCACTTTCTCCGATCATTGCCGATATAGTCATGCAGGACTTGGAAACATTAGTAATTAGTAATTTAAATTGCGAAATGACTTTCTATTTCCGTTATGTAGACGACATTATTTTATGCACTTCCGCTGACAATATTACATATGTTTTGAACGAATTCAACAATTATAACGATAGACTACAATTTACATTGGAAAAAGAGGATAATCGTTGTATAAGCTTTTTAGACATAATGATCAAAGTAATAGATAATAAAATTTATTTAGATTGGTATCACAAAAAGACATTCTCAGGTAGATTACTTTCATTTTTTTCAAATCATCCGACTTGTCATAAAATAGGAACAATTTATAACTTGGTAGATAGAGCTTTATTACTATCACATCCGCAATTTCACAAAAAAAATATAGAGAAAGCTATTAACATTTTGCTATCCAACGGTTATCCTCTTGATCTAATTTTCACAGAAATAAAACGCAGATTAAAAAATCTCTCAACTAAGAAATTTAACAAGCCTAATAATAACAATATAACAGATACCAATAATACTAATACTAACATTAAATATTTTGTCATACCATATATAGAATCAATATCTGAGAAAGTTGCTTCAGCAATAAGAAGACCTGACGTAGTGGTAGGATATCGTTGCATTAAAAAATTGAATGACTTCATAAAAGTTCAAAAGGACAAAAATAATTGCCCCACGAATTCTAATGTTATTTATAAATTGAATTGCAA